AGATAAGGGTAACACCTGCACCCAAACACTCGAAGGGAGGAGTAATCTGGTTCTTTTAATTTCCTGTAATCACAGCATAAGGAATTCTCATTTTCAAAGTAGCTAAAGGCAATCTATTTATAAGGAAAACTGCTGAAGCGAAGTCTTCAAACCAAAGTTTGGTGGGGACTTCACTATGAAACATCATTGAAAGCCCAAGCTCAACTAAGTTTCTATGCTTTCTTTCTACTATTCCATTTTGTTCATGTACTCCAGGACAAGAGATTTGCTTTATGATTCCATTCTCATTTAACATGTCTTCAAATTCACAAAGCTCAAATTCTTTCCCACCATCACATTGAAAAGTTTTAATATTTCCATTATATTGATTAAGAATCATCTTGTAATTTTTATTTTTTTTTTTGAATATGGGAAAGAAGTCAGATTTGGCACGCATGGGATAAATCCAGGTAAAACGTGAGCAATTAATCATCTATATGAAGCTTACATAATATTTGTATCCTTGAGCAGAACAAACAGGGGCTGGTCCCCATAAGTCACAATGGATTTTAGAAAAAGGAATAGTAGAATGCACACTATCATTGATAAAAGATAAGGTAATCTACTGACAACTTTCACAAACTGAAAACTCAATTGTTCCAACTGGTAACATGAATAAGACCTTTTGAATGTAAATGCTTAACTACTTGACTATTTGAATGCTTTTCCGTCACCTATCATAATAGATTCATTACCAGTATAGGGAGTGTTAAAGTTTGACCTGCCCTAGAATTCTGTCTTGTTTGTTGACTGTAAAGTAAACAGCAAGAAGTAGGAGAGGAAAGAGGAAGAGAGAAAAGAGAGGAAAGAGAGAAAGGCTGGTTCGAATTAGAGAAAAAAGTTATCCCTAGATTCGGCCAGACCTGTTATTATATTATTAACTTATTGGAAAAGACTTAAGTGCCCTTCTTTAAGTAAGAGGCACTCGAACTAACATAACAGTACACATCAACATTCTCAACAAGTACAAAGACCAAAATACCCATTCACTAACACCACTAACAGGGAGCAAGGTTTTGCAAGCTACCTGGATTGCTGGTCGATCATGTGTGATGTGGCACCTGTATCAGGAATCCAATCTGAGTCATTAGGATCACTGAGAGTCAATGCAGCCAGGGCTGACGAGGAATATTAATTGGAGCGCTGATGGGCATGACTGAAGCGATTATTGCATTCTATTGCTTCATGCCCTTTGAGGCGACAAATTTGGCAGTTGGCACACAACTTACAATGAAGTTCTGTTGATTTTGAAATTGAGGCCGCCATTGGTTTGCTTGCTGAAAGCCTCTTCCTTATGAAGAGAAGTTTTGCGCATTCTGACCTTGATTGTTGTTTCTTGTTGCTCCAGTTGTGGGTATTGTTGTTATTTTTTGTTCCTATTGTACCGTTGTCCCATTAAGGCAAAAGCATCATCATGAGTGTCAGTTGCTGCTGCTTCTTGCAACCGAAGATATGGCTATTTAATGCTGAGACAAATTGATTCCAAGAAGGAAGAGGAGGGCGAGCTAAAATGGTGGTGGTGGTGAACACCATGTAGCTAGGTCCAAGACCATGATGAGCAGCCCAGTAAACCTTGTCTGGTTCAGACACAGGTTTTTGAATTGCACCGAGTTCATCACATATGATCTTGAAAATTTTAAGATATTCTGCTACCGAGAGCTTACCTTTGCGAATAGTATGAAGTTGATGTGTGAGAATCAACTCTCCATCCTTTGAAGCTTCAGCAAAGGTTCCCTCTAAGCACTCCCAAACTTCTTGTGCAGTAATTCGTCCAACAACCAGACTAAGACTCTCCTCTGTTATGGTACCACAGATTAAACTCTTGAGCAAACGATCTTGTAGTGACCAGGAGGAAGACTTTTCTTTCTCTTTGCCTGATTTTGAGTCTAGAATGATATGATCCTTAAATTCAGCACTCTCCATCAAAGGAAGGATTTGTTCTTTCTACAACAGATAGTTCTTGGATGTTAGCTTCGCAGTGACCATGGAGGCTAAGTGAGCAAGGGTGCTCAAGCTCAAACTGGTTGAAACAGCCATTGGCGCAGTAAAACTGAACACAGGAAAGTCACAACAATCACAAGTAGTGATTTTGCTCTGATACCATAAAGACAAAGGTGCTGAAACTCTTGAAGTTATGTTTTGAATTGATCTTCAAGACTGAGTTATATACAATTACAAGACAACGGTTTCATAGAGAAGCTAGGATACTAAACTTGCAAAATAGAAACTTTATAAATAAAGTCTGACTTTACAAAATAAAATAAAAGAATAAAAAAGAGGAAATAAAATAAAATAGAAACTAAGAGACTTCGACTAATAGAGAAGATTGATGAGAATCCAGATCCAAACCTGAATTGTTGTCTGAGTTCTTGTCAGCCCCAATAAGCTGATTCGATGGATTTGGTTGTCATATTCGGAGGGTGTTTGATATTTAAAAAAAAAAAAAAAAAAGTTCACACTGAAAGGACATCATAATTTTGTGTGGGATCATTTCTTTTGAAGGGCTACACAATGGGGGTAGCCCATCCCCCAACCCAAGTGCAAGTGGGATTCCATTCCAAATCTCTGCAACGATCAGCAGGACACCTTACCAACCAGTTGATTGGCACCTTGCCAAAAAGGACCATATATACAGGTATACAATTGAGTTCCTCCCTTATTATTCTCCACTATGCTTTGGCACTTTTGCCTTTGAGCATTTTATTTATTTATTTTTATGACAAAGGCCTTTGAGCATTTTATTGCACAGAGTCCGAATATACTCCTCACACAGCACACCTCGCACAAACCTTACAAGCATAGTTTTAAAAGGCTAAAGAGGCGTGAGGCGTACGCCTTCCGCCTTGCGCCTCAACCAGTTACCCCTGCAAAATGGAAAATCATTGGAATTCAGAAATGCGTTTTTTGCGGAGCTACAGTCCAAGACAGAAATCTTGATTCCTAAAAATAAAAACATATTTTTTTATATAAGAGAACTGGAAACCCATCGATCATACCAACTTCAACTTCTTCTTCTTCTTCGAATTTGGAAATCCATCCACGCGCTCAATCCATGATAAATCGAAGCAGTACATTTTATAGGTTTTGATCTTACGATTGTACTTTTATGAAAATTTTTCAGAAAGTACTGCAGAATTCTGAAATTACAGCCCCCATAATCTACTAGTAGCCTCCCCTAAACTATATCCTACCCGTGAATTTGGCATCAATCCATAGTCACGATTTACCCCACTTATATGGTGGTTTGTACTTTGTAGTAAGCAAGTATGAATTAATTAATACAAATAATAACAACACTTCAAAATCCAATGGTCTAATGGGTATTCCAAAGGGTATTTACAGTTGTTAATGACCATCATATTCTTTAAATTTTTTGGTAAATAAAATAAATTACCTTTCTTTGATAAAAAAACATATTCTTTAAAATTTAAAGTCGAAACAAACAACATATTTTTTTGAGTATTCTAATGAAACTTTGTCCACAGCATGTATTCTAATTATGGACCTTAATTCTTTTTCTTTTTAGTTTTTACAAAGGTTTTTTTTGAGGAATCATAAATTGGTTAATAGTTTAGGGTCCGTTAGGTCCATTCCAATTAGACCATTAATAGATTAGATGAACCAAACAAAATATGCAAAACTCCAATTTCATGTTTTTTAACACCTTTATTGTTTATTGACTATATCTATATTTTTTATCTTTTTTACTTTAAATCTTACGCCTCAAACTGCCTTGAGGCGTAAGCCTCGCCTCTCTAAGAACCAACCACCCCACCTCCTTTTAGCCTTTTAAAACCTAGCTCACAAGTCACAGCCCCATCCTATTGTGTATTGGGAACATCTCCCATCCCTTATGCCGTTATTCATGGGGAGATGTTTCCAATACACTGACATGAATAGAAGTAGTAAAAAATTGATTTTTATTTTGGATCATGAAGCTATAGAAGTAGGTAATCCATCCCCTCAAAGGCATGACACTATCAACTCTATATAATTGGGATAAGGCTTGGATGATGATGATGATGAATTAGCGGTAGTGATATTCTCCATCTTTGCATGCTTACAGCCCATGGCTTGTACTATTTAATAAGGTCTTATTCCTTTACCGTTATCTTAGGTAAATTCACTTACCCAAGTAAATATTTCTTGGGTAAAATTTACTCAGAAAAGTTTATTTACCCATGTTCTTTTAGTTGAAACTTACCAGGTAAATTTCACACTCCAACTTACCCATATTCTTTTGTCTCACCAACTTTCTTGGGTAGTAAAAAATGAATGTTTTTTTTTTTGTGGAGATTTTGTTTTATAAACCTGTGTAATAGGTCTATGCCATATCAAAAGGAACCCAATCACTATTGCCAACATTACCCTTTTTGGGTATTGCTACTACACCACCAATACCTAGCTCCTCGAGAAGGAAATCATAGCCGAAAAGAGACCCTTGAAAACTTTGTGAGTGGGGCTAATAGAAAAATGAAGAGAAAAGACAAGAAAACTTGAAAACCCACAACAAATAGCATGAATTGTGAAACCCAGAAAGGAAAACGACTAGAACAAGACTAGAGAAACTCGAGAAATTAATGGAAAATAGTTAACAACACAAGGGTATTTTCGACTGAGGTGGGTGTTTTCAACTTGGGAAAGTAAACTTATCCACCTCTGAGGTGTGTAAGTTTTTCCTCGGACAAGTAACCTTTAATTTACTCGGGGGAAACTTTATTTTCCATGCGCCCCATACGATTTTGTAAAAGAAGATAAGAAAGTTGTCAACTTTCCCACTCCAACTTAACGCTAAACGAAGGAGGCCAAAATAGAATCATAGAATAAATGCCAACACACGATAGATGGCTATAGGTGTTAAAGTAAAATGGTAAGTTTAATCAAATGTATTAAAAATGGTCCATAGGCTTCATGTAGCGGATCCTATATAGGGACAAGGCTTAAATGATGATGATGTGATGTGAGAAAATCCACAATGATTCAAAACCATTGTATTTTTATTCATCCAAAAAAAAATTACAAGCTCAAACCGTACAAAGTTTGTCGGTATAACCTGTCACAACACTTATGACTCATTTGATTTGCCAGAATAAGGGTCTGGAATTGGAATTGGAATGGGCCATTTTATTCAAATTGTTTGATTAAGCTGAATCGAAATCCCATTCTCATTCAAAGTTGAATGGCATTCTCCCGTTTGAAAGGATGGTCATTCCCTCTCCCTCCCATTCCAGCTGATTCCAATTCATGTCAGAACCAAACAGACAATCTGATTCCAATTCTGATTCCAGTTCCAACTTGAACCAAACGGACCCTTATTTAGTTAGACATTCACCTGTGAAGAGGAGGGGTTTGGAAACCAGCCAAAAACAAGTGATCCAGATTCCATCAATATCCTTTGTAGTTATAAGAGGCCTCGTCTAATATTAGTGATGAGACAGTTACCAACTTCGTTCAAATCATCTCCTCGAAGACTCTCTAAACGCACCAAGTGAAGGGAGGCTAGCGCCTAGAACTAGAAAACCGATTTTATTGGGATGCATTCCCACACTGGAGTAGGTAATGGCTCAACTCAAAGCGACCAGGTAACGTTACTTGAACTCAATCACCACACTTCATGTAAGCAGTCCAATCACCAATGCAATGAGACGATAGGCTACCAGTTCACCACTATACAACTGAAAGCAGAAGTTAGCACAGAGGTGGTGGTCAGATATATAGATCTAGTTGTTTTGGAATGAAAATTCAAAACCTACCTATCATGGTAATCCTCTATGTTGCAGTGCAGATACCATTAGATTTGATAGTGACTGGTATGCAAGATCTCTCAATCGGTTCAGCACTGGCAACACCACAGTACCCAAGTCAGGTCGGTCTTTTCGCCGGAGTTCACAACACTTCAAAGCAAGTTTTGCAAACTGAATTGTCTCTTCCATTGGCCAGTCAGGCACCTTAGGGTCCAGCATCTCCTCCAGTTCACCAACTTCCATTGCCTCTTCCATGTTGTGAGCAAGCCCCATTGGTGGCCGTGCTGTGATGAGCTGCAAGAAGATGATACCAAGGGCATATATGTCAGACTTGATACACAGCATTCCACTCTTTTGGTACTCTGGGTCAATGTAGCAAAAGGTCCCAGCAGCGGCAGTCATGTGGTACTGTGTTACATCTTTGGCAACAGAGGGAGGTAAAAGGCGTGCCAAACCAACATCAGCAATCTTGCTTGTGAAATTACTATCAAGAAGGATATTTGCTGGCTTCAGGTCACGATGAACAAGGGGTTCAGGTTTTGTCTGGTGGAGGAAGAGTAGTCCAGTGGCAACCTCAGCAGCAATCTTAAACCGGAGCTGCCAGGAGAGAGGAGGAGTGTTGTCCCGGCAGAACAGTCGATCTTCCAGACTGCCATTAGCCATGAATTCATATACAAGGGATCCATATTCAGGGCAAGCACCCATGAGGAGGACCATATTCGGATGGCGAATACAGCTCAGAACTTCTACCTATAGAAATTGAATGACAAGATCACTATGCCAACCAAAGTAAAGTTGGAAACATAAAGTACATTGTAATATTCAAAGAAACAAGATTTTAACTAGGAAGTTCAACATTAAAATATTGAATTTAACTCGGTCCAGATAACAAAGAGAAATGGCTCTGCATAATGGCCAACAATCAGAACTTGGCATTTGTAAAAACGTTCTAACAATATTCACATCATTTTGGAATATTTTTTACAGCTAATCTGGTAAGTAAAGTTGATTGCACATTAGGGAAATAATTTTTCTTAGTTATTTTCGTGTTAATGCAGCATAGCAGAGGATGCATATCAATCAATAGGAATAAAAATGTAATATTGCAGCAAATTGCTCATATTGGAAGATGAGAAGCTTCACCATACCTCCTGTTGAAATTGTCTCATTCCTTGAGAAGCATTTGACTGTAGAATCTTGATGGCAACAAGTGTGTGATCCAGGGTACCTTTGAAAACGGGCCCATATCCACCTTCACCAATCTTGAGATCCTCGGAGAAACAATCTGTTGCCTTTTGAATTTCCTGTGCGGTATATCTCCTATACCGGACATCTACTGACAACGAATCAAAAACTTTCTTATTCTCCATCTCTTGTAACAATTTGTTCTCCGCATTGATCCTCTTGTTTGTCTCAATCTCAGCCACCTGGGCAATTTGAGATGCTTCAGGATAAGTTCTATATCTCTCCCTTTCATTTTCTGCCATTTGAATGGCTGCCTCCTCAGCCCTCCTTGAGTTGAGATCATTGACCTGTATATAACAATAAAAGAATGTGATCAGACAGGAAGAACAAGAGTCTTTTATGTCTTAGATAGGGAAAGGAATGATGTCAAAGAGAAGTTAACAAAGGCAGGTAATCTCAATTTGACCATCTGGTGTGCACTCAAGGCATCTTTGCAGGCTTTATTATACACGTCCATTGTTTGCTGAAGTTCAAGTTTTAGTCTTCTCAGTTCAGCATCCCCATCTTCCTGCAATTTAAAAAAACAAAACAAAACATTTGGTTGGTAATAAATAAGAAGTTTTACTTCCAAAACTCATAAATCACATATAAAGACAAGAAATGCATAATTTGGAAGTTTCTCTCCCCCAATACCTGGATGCTTTTGAGTTCTGCATATTATCTAGCAAAGAAAAAAAAAAGGTTCTGATGCCAAATTTTGACACCCCACTTTTTTCAAGAAAAATTCTGTTCCATATATAAATATAGCCAAGTTATTTAGCAAAGAAGACCAAACAACCAAGGAATCTTCTATGTGGAAGATTGGTTTTTGGCCCAAAGTCCCACATGTTCATCTTCATATCCTTTATTAGTGGAGAAAACTTGAGCCCCGAAACTCTTGCCACATCGCCAGAATAAGCCTTTCATTTTGAGAAGGTTTAATATTAGCACATTGAAACTCTAAAAAACCAACTTGTGGAAAACACTAATAAAAAGTAATATGCAATTCTTTGTAAAGAGGAGGTTGTGAGTTCAACTCCCCTCATTGAAAACTACCTGGATCACTGCAAAGATGTTCTTTATGCAACAGAAAGATTATTATTTACTTATATTAAGAACGTATTGGAAAATAATATTTTATTAGAAGCTCGGTTAGGCTTGTGAGCTACTCAAGCCGAGTATTACGAAGCTCGAACTCAGCTCGGCTCGACTCGACTTGATGATCTTCAAGCCAACATCGAGTATTTAGAGAAGTGAACCCAAGTAGCTGTGTGTTGGCTCAGCTCACTTGCACCCCTACTTAAGGAGAGGGTACATAATGGGTCATTGGATCCTGCTTCTGTATTGGCTTCACCCAGGACACAGGACAGATCTGATTTCATTGGTCAGTGGGACTGCAACTTGTATGGGAATGGTGTTGGCTTGAATTTGATGGTGGGGCTGAGAAGACAGCAACACAGGAAATAGGAACCAACTATGGTAGAGGAGGAAGTTTGTCTTAGATGGGTGTGGAGAGAGGAGAGAAAGAGAGAGAGAGTGGGTAGGTAAATCACATTGGTTGAGCTTTGGGAGAAAAGAGAGAGAAAGTTTGGGTGAATTGAAGTTGTTTTGGGGAGACGTAAAGTATGGGGAGAGGGGAGAGAGAAGGTATGTGGGGAGAGAAGATTAGCTTTCTCTTCACGCCACTTTATTTATTTTCTCCTCACACCACTTTAAATGGAGGTAGACTATCTCAAATTGGTAAGGGCGGGCAACTTTTTTTTTCATATTAATTCATCTTTGAAGGTGGACCATCTCCAATGAAGCTGGTATGTCATTTTTCAGAGAAAAACAAAGGAAAATAAAAAAAAAAACACAGAAAAGAGCACTGCCAGGGTGGATTGCCTTGTTTTAATATATAGATATAGATTGTGCACTTGTATCTTTTATTTGGGCTTTATATTCTAATTTAGAAATAAAATAAATGACAAAAACATGCAAAAATCGTTGCATAATAATTAAATACATTTTATATAATCAGAAAAAAGATACATCTATAACATAGCATGCATAAATGTATTTGTGTTTATACTTGTTTTTGCACACGTGCGCACACACACAAACAAAGCAGATATCACTTTGACATGTCACACATAGACAAAATATACAAAAGGACCTCTAATGTTTTTCTGTCCACTATTAGTACTACATGCAAAGCATGTGCCTTCCTACTTGTTTACATAACATAAATACACAATCTACATATATACATGGGATGTATATATTATGGAAGGTTGAGGAAACTTAGGTAAGGATCAGGCTCAAGTTGGGTTAGTCCAAGTTCAAGCTATCCAAGGCTTCAATACAACCCCATCCACCATATAGCAAGTAAAATGTCTATTTCATTTTCCTTTATTCTTTTTCAATTAGGAATCACAGACCAAAATTGTATATGAAGACCATTACCCAATGTTAGTCCTAGTTATTTGGGGTCTTGAAAGGGATGGACTGGATACAGACATAACTTCTGCACAAAATGACCACTCTCAGACTCATATCTGTATTCTCATGCTTGTCAGCCCAATTATATGATTCAGGGACTCCTAATTTAACAATGGATATGGCACTGAACAGAATGGAATGACGGAACAGGATTCATGTAGTCAACCTCGTATAGTTGAGACAAGGCTGAGATGATGGTGATGTATTATTGTATTAGTGTTTCATCCTTAATGGATGATGTCTCCATGTTGAACACGTGTTGGAGTCCAACATTCCATGGATTTTTTAGGATTCTTCTACATAGAATTTCCTTTTCATCTCCTAGTCTATTTGGCATAAATGAACAGCTAAAGTACAAGATGAACATCATTTTTCACATCAAATGTTACAAAGGAAACATCTTAGACACCTTTTTTGCAGGTATATAATGTTAGAATTCAATATATATATTCAATATATATATAATAGTATAAGCCATCCAATAGATGTCTTTGAGTCCTTGTTTTCTCACCTTACCAAGTCAGACTCTAGGACATGCATTGGACTCTGACTCGTGTGTTTGTGTCCAGGTAACACTATGATATATAAACATAAACCTTGTATTGGAGTTTTGGCCAATTTATGATGGCCTGGCACATTTCTAAGGCTAAAAGTATATGATGGTTTGTGTCCATAGTATGTATGTATAAAAAACTTCAAATAATTTTCAGCAACTAGTAACCAAACAGGCCCTAAGGCTAAAAGAACATGAAGTAGGATGCAAGCATACCAAAGATTCTAAATCCTCCTGAAAGGCAGATGGTGAATGTTCATATGAACTTGATGCTCCTGACCAGTTAGGCAAGCTGGATGTATTTGACTCAAAGCTTCTCAAATATCCACCAATTCTATGTGATTCAATGATGTGCATTTGCCCGCCAGATCTGTTTGAATCAGTGCTATTTCTACTTGATTCAAAGCTGTTTCTACTCGATTCACAGCTCATCGTTAGCTCACTTCTATTTGATTCAAAGCTTCTTGTTAGGTCACTTCTATTTGATTCAAAGCTTTTCTTTAGCTCATCTGGGTAATCTCTGTACAGATTTGGCAGGCGTGGCCGCTGAGACCCAAAATCAGCATTATCTCGTTGATAATAATTAACCTGCTGATCGATGCTGCTTGGACATGAAGCAGAATTTTGATATGGGGAGTCAAGTTGTCCTCCACCTTGGATAGCTAGGTTAATTTTTTCAGCCATCTTGCAATCATAGCCTCTCATGGAAAGTCCACCTTCATGACCATGTCCAAGCTTTTTGCTTCTTGCCAATAGACAACTGATTTCAGATGATGATTTAGTTAACTGATTAGTACAAAAACCAAGTAAAAGGGAAAAATGGAAAGAAAGTTTGCTTTGTAAGAGAGAGAGAGAGAGAAGAAAATGACAGAAATAAAAATGTTGTAGTAAGAATAGAAGGGTAAAATGCCTCCAATATGGTACAAATCTATAGGGGTTGGTACCAACCAAGGAGATCATCTAAGGCCAAAACTCAATTTGTTAATGAACATAACTACCCTATATAGTTCATTATCATTTTGAAGGCAATACTAATATGCCAATGGTAGAGTTCAACTTAACAGGTTCATTTTTGGTATAGTAACTAAGGATTGACCACTAATGGGAGGGGTTTCCCTGATCCTAGAGAGGGGGGCCGAGTGCTTCTCATCCTCTCATCTTGATAACAGTACTTCAAGTTATTTAGTCCTTACATATTTATTCATTCATAAGCAAATCAAAGAAAAAAAAGGAAAAGAAAGAAGAAAAAGTGGATGACCAAAGCAAAGTTGTTTGAACATTCTAATGAAAGCCTAAAACATTGGATGTTTATGAATGTATAAATTGTTTTGACTTTTAAGATCACCAGCAACATCAAAAAGTGGATTACACAATAAACTAAATCCAAATTTGACCTATCAATCCAATTAAGTTTGATAAAAATATCTATTTATAACAGGATCAAACCCAGATCCACACTAATACAAAGATAGGGGTGCAAGTCAGGCAGGCCCTAACTAAAATTTGATGCACCCAGGTTGGGCTTGGGACCATACCAGGCTCAGGTTGGTCAATCAGCCCACACTAAAATTTGACATAAATGTATCTTACTTATGCATGTATGCATGCAAATATATTTCTGTATAGTTGGGCCAGGCTCAGGTTGGATAAGGTTGGGCTGAGCTTGGGCTACCTAAGGGCTAGGCCTGGGCCAATCCTGGAAGCCCAAACTTTTGGGCCTAGGCCCAGTCTGAGAATCAAAAATCCAAGCCTGGCCTATGTAAAATTGCGGGTTGAATTGGTCCAGGCTTGGGTTGGGCCACCCAAGTTGCATATACAAAGACCCCTGATTCTGATACAGCTATCCTAGGTCTTGGAAAGGGCAGACCTAACCATTTGCATTTTAGCACAAGGTTGCTTATTTCATGCATGAACCACATTCTCATAACTACCAACCCAAATTTTACCAGGGTACCAATCAACAACCAGATCCACACTGTGCATGTGTGTTAGCCAGCTGCAGTTCAGCCCATAATCCAGGTATGGATCTGTCTAAAACAAAAGCATACTTAAACCAGGACATAATAAGCTATAAGCCCAAGCTTGGACAATTCCCAAGGAACCAATAAATATGGCCAAGGCCAAGATGAATATAATATTATTAACAAAAAAAAAGGTGTAGACTTGGAGTTCAGCCTGATGGCCATGCCCCCATATAGACAAGGGCATAACAATCTAAGAACAAGTTTGGGCCAGCCCCCATAAACCAATAAAACAAAAAATATGAGTTGACTCTTTTCCCTAGCACAGCCATTTACATATATTGGGCATCATTCTTATGTTGAAGGTCAGCCCATGGGCTTCCATAGACACCTAACTCCTGGCCTAATGCAAGTGGGGCTCGGTTATCATTGGGACGGGCCATCCCAGCCCATATTGCTCCCTCCCCCCTCCCCTGCCCCCCCCCAAAAAAAACAAATAAATAAATAAATGAAGGCTGTCTACCAACTAGAGGTGCAACTTGGGTGGGATAAGGTTGGGTTTTTGTCAAAATTTGAATGGGCCTGGCCCAAAAGCCCAAGCCCAGTGTAAAATGCTAACTTGAGCCAACCCGAGTTGCACCCCTACCACCAACTGAACAAACTACACCAATCACGAAGCAGGCTGTGTGTCAGTATACCATCACATGCACAACCTTTGCGCCCATACAACAGGTTTTCCTATAAAATTATTGCACATTCAAAACCACACATATAGATAATATGCCAAAGTCACTTACTGGGGAGCTATATCTACTTGGGGAGGCACACTTGGCTCACCTGTAAATAAAACTGTTTCAATAATAGATATTGGAAAGCAACAACTAAATACTAAATGGTGATCCAATTTTATTATCAAACTTGAAAGGAGGAAAAAGAAAATAGGAAGAGCAGCAAACTTTTAGTTGACTGAAACTTTGCAGAAGACTCAAGCACATTATTTGATTGTCCCTTTCCAGGATGCCTGTTAGGGTTAGTAGCAGGTCGAACTGAAGAAATCCTTCCCTTCGATATAACATACACAGAACAGAATTCTGGAGCAGCTTTTGAAACTGAGGTAGGTACATCTGCACCCTTAAAGGTTCTGCCAAATAAATTTGCATATGAAGTGAATAGAAAAGTAATAGTATACTTGATAAATGGAGCAATAAACAGGAAAAAGGACAGCACCTCATAATGGCATTTCTTGAAGATGCCCCAAGAACAAGTTTATCAATGTTTTCCTGGAGAACGTAATTGACAATAGCTCTAGGTACATCTGTGTCATCTATAATGACCTCCTTGTATTGTAGCTGGATAGACAAGACAAAATAATATCCAGGTTAGAGAGGAGGTGAGAAGTAGTCCCTTTTCTGATCATGAGGGATCATCCATTCTAAATATTCATATAAGGTAAACTTGAAATTGTTTCATGGCTAATTTTATCAATGGAAGCCTAGTCACTTAGAAGTTTTTTTTTTTTCTTCAACTTTATCAATAGTAAATTTGATTCTTTTGTCAATGCCTTAAATTAAGAGTTTAACATTTTATCTGGTTTATATAAGGATGAACATTGTATACCAGGATAGTCTTGGACTAACCATAAATCAAAATTGTAAGTAAAAATATTCTCAAGGCAACATATTAAATGCAGGCACAGTTTTGGTAGCCAATTCAAGTCCAGGAGGAGCTTTAAATAAAGGTAAAAAATGTACATGATGATTTTTCTTATTCAATAAATAAATCCATTATTCTCCCAGTTATTCAACCTATGTCTCATTTATGTTCTCAGAAGAACCACATGTAATTAAGATTACAATATAGTTAAAAAGTAAAAGGTACTTTGCGTCTAATTCTCATTTATTAAGCAAACCATTAAATGTTAAATCAGCTACTATAGCATGTTTCCCTTGTTTCAGAAAGTGCAAGAGACTGTATGAACTAAGTTTGCTAAAACTTTAATAGTTCATATAATTCCATGCCTTTATGGAGGATTGCATGTGAACCCATAAAGATTATCTCAGTTATTACCCAGGTATTTCCAACAGCTTTCATTGCTAATGCTAGCCATAAGCAGGAGGGGAACCTTTAATATAAATAGATATTGGTTCTATGTATCATTTCTCATGTTTATGCATTCTCTTTGTTTTCTTGATAACCTAGGGCAGATGGATCAACCTAGGCTTCCCATGAAGGTGACAAAAAAATAATAGCAGAAAAGCATGCAAGTAATGGGATGTTTCAATGAGTTGACCCCCAAACCAAAGGATAAATTTGTATTAAAGGCAAACTTATCTACAATTTCAATATAATGCCCTTACAGAAGATAAAAAATAGAAAAAAAAAAGAAATATAACACATAAACTGAGAAATAACAAATAAGAATAATACATACTTATATCAAGACCCCCCCCCCCTTTTACTTTACAGAAATTTTTTAAAGACCTCTAAAGTGCCCTAAAAACTTTTGCACATGACTAATAATGAATTATCAAGGTAACACTTCCCCCTGATAGACTGATCAACCCCTTATGCTCTTGAGTCTTGACTCTCCAGCACAATTTAGAGCATGTTATATATAGATCAGAATGAATGAAATTAGAAATGGGTGTCCAACTTTTTTTGATAAGCAATAGTCGTAGCCCTAATTGGCAAAGAGATATAGCATTCAACTAAGATGGTCTGATCACATGAAACAAAGACCAAAGACACCAAGAGTGAGGAGTAAATTTGTTCAAGTTGAAGGCTATAAAGGAACAACACAGAAAATGGACATGGATCGAGATAGCAAGAACAAAATGCTAGACAATTCATTCTTTGGTAAAAACTTTGCCCTAAGTGGCAAAAAAATGCATGTAGCAACGCTGAACAATTAGGATTAAACTATAGTGATCAATTACTGATATTAAAAAAAACTATAGTGATCCATCTTAACTGGTGGTCATGACCATTGACTAACCAATGCACCACAACATTTTCCAAAAGAATAAAGAATATGGCGACTTCAGCCACACAGAGAGGGGGGCATTACCCATTGATGGTTTCCACTATCTTGCGTCATGGGCAGGGTAAACCGTAAACTGGATACAGACTTAGCCTTTGCCTTTGCCTGTTTTGTTGTACACAGTGACTGCTCTAAAATTTGAACCCCTTCTCTCGCACTTGTCTTCCCAGGATTTTACCATTGCATCTAAACGAACAAACCTACTACTATGCTACTAGAGACAATCAAATGGTAGCTCCCATGCAGTGGATGTATGCAATATGAATGCAAATTACGATAATAGCCTGACTAATTTGTACCTTTCTAGGGGGACCTAAATGACCACCAAAGTTATCCCATTAATGTCTACAAGAAATCTGACACGAAAGAAACAACAGAATCTACCAAAAAAAAGAAAAAGAAACAACAGAAAAAAAGAAGAATAATGAAAAATGAATAAATATCATGCATATAGATTTGAAGCAGCATGCTGATCCTGCTGTGAATTGCAAGAGTATGGATCTATAGAAATGTTTCTAGTTCACTGACATAAATGTAAATAGGAGGGATCAAACTATCTCATTCCAATCAGGGATGCTCAATCCATCTAGCAAAATGCAATTTGCCCACCAACCCTACTTTTTAAGGATTTTTCTGTCATACATAAGCATGAGGATAATCATGGTTAAATACATACACCTCGTCTATTGCAGTAACACTGGTAAGGAAGGAGTATTTCTTTTGTTTGCAGGTCAGCCTGTTCAAGGAAAGCATATGCAACCTCTTCATTCACTTCTGAAATTGGAACTTGCCTTCCACCTGTGAAAAGAAGATAACCGTACCAGAACAATTTGTTTTAATTAGAATAAAAAAAATCACAACAGAATTGAACCATCGGTAAAGCCTATTTAAATATAAGGAACTACCACAGGAAAAACAATATACACAATTGCTCACTTAATTTGTAGAACCACGCGGGTGAAACAAAAAACTGAAATCTTAATAACCCCAAGAAACTTCCATAATTACACTGGAATTTAGATCCATCTACTGAAACTGGACATTTCTATGATACATGAACTCACCACCTAGTAATCCAATCTGTATCTTTCAAATGCCGCAGTGAAAAATTGATTCACCAATTGAACAGCCCTGATATATGGACTGGTAGGTAAAAATATACCATACATTAATAGGTTTCAAACAGGGCATCAGATGAGGTTCAAGATACATGTCTTCTGATTCTTCTCCAAAGTTCTTCGATGGGATCTTATATTCATTCGTGAGGATAAAATGAAGTTTCACCTTTACATCAATTTCTTCCACACATTCGACAATTTATTCTATTACCTTCAAGTAAGATAAGCGCAAAAGAATGAACAAATGCGTGTAAAATAACATTAAAAAAATAACTACTAATCTCGAACTGGGACTGGGAAGAAGATTTCCAAAAGATGAGAAAAGTATAGTTTAATTTAAGATAGTAATAACACGAAAAGAAAGACTTAGATGCTCCGGTCATGGAGAAAATGAAGATTTAGCGAGCACATGAACTACAATTACAGCAATAAGTAAGCGATGTGAAAATCAGGAAACAATAAAACTTAAGTAATGAGATTTGGAATTCGACTAACTTGGGGTTGGAATGGTAAGAGGTTTCTTGCGGACGTGGAGGAGGATGAAGGGCTGTGCTTTGGACGCAAGATGATCTGCAGTCCATCTCAGCGCGTGCTGACTGCCCTTGTCCGTATCGATTGCAACAGCCACAAGCCCTGTGTCTTCATTATCTAGGTATCGTTGCCCGCTGCTCTTATTCATGGATAGAACTTGGATTTCACGATACAATTATCTCTGCGTAACTTCACGGCACGTTCTACAACTTTAGAACCGTTTCTATGGGCGCAAAGTTGAAGCAGAATGCGTTGGGATCCTTTTCAGGTGAAAGATAAACCAAATTCTACCATTCCAAGGAATTGTAGAATTTGGTTCTCTTTCTGGTCCCTCCTCCTCCCCTCCTCCTCTGATTCTTTTTTCTTCAGAGCTCTCTTCCTCTTCCCCAAACCCGAGAGGATCTGATGTTGATATAAGGAGGTTAGGATTTGACAGGTAAGAGGGAAGAGGAGTAAGAATCAGAGTTGTGAAAGGAGGGATGGTTGGGGCAGCCATTCCAGATGAGCAATGGACGTCGAGGCTTTCGCTGGCTTCCGGCCTTCCGCTGAATTAGGAATTGTTCTGTTTCTTCTCTACGCGGGGACAATGGGTGAGGTTAACCCACATTCCGGGAGATAGTTTCCATCTTTAACCAAACGACAATTACGGATCCCATGGACTCGGACTTTTATGCTATGTTTGATTTGAAGAAAAAGGTAGAGTAAAAAGGGAAAGGTAGGGAGATCCATACAAAGTTTAGGCTCCGTTTGGTTGGACGGAATCGAAATCTCATTTTCATTTTTGCTAGAATAGCATTCTCTCATTCAAGGGAATGGCCCATTCCCTGCCCCTATTTTAGGAATGAAATTTCATTCCTTCTTATTTTAATTATCATTCCCATTCTTGTCTAACCAAACAGACTATAGGAATGAACCATTTGAATTCCAATTTTAAAGAATTTTTATTCTAATTTTAATTTCAATTCTGACTACGAACCAAACAAACCCTTATATAGGTTTTTCTACCTTTTCCTCTCATTTCTTATTTTTTCCTTCACACCAAGCACAGGGTTAAGGTACATGTACAACCAAATTTGAGTCATTTAGGCTGTGTTGTTTAAACAATACACAATTGAATCTTATCTGTGGATTATTCGAATTCCAGGTGCAACCGTGCAATCGCATATTTGAATTGAACTAGTAAATTAGGCTAAAAATAATCCAAATAGAAAAATATTAGAGGTTATTTATCTAAAACTCTCATTCACGTGTATCCATTTCTTACTACCAACAAAAAAATTCGTTTAGGCTCAGTTATGTACAGTACAAATACATACAAAAGGTAAAGTTTTGCACTCTATATATTTGTATTTGTAGGCTCAATTTAGAAGGAATATAAATATAAATATGTAGAGTGCAAAACTTTATATTTTGTATATATTTATACTCCTTCCAAACTGAGCCTTAATGATGTTACCCCTACTTTGTCATCTAAAATTTATCTTTCTATGAATAAGTCATTTAAAAATAAGTTAAAAAAGCAATAAAAATTCTTGTTTGCCCTCCAACTCAAGGGTCCTAAGGTGAGGAGAAGAACCCCCAAATCTCAAATGGATAATATAATACATTTCATCCTTGCAAGAAGGGGTAGCATGGTAAATAGCTTATTGAATTTGAGTGGGTCCATAATTAAGTAGGGTACATATGGAATCCCTTTACTATAGCCTGAAACAATCCAACTACGGGTGAACATGTCCCAGGCCTCTATGAAAAAGGTATTTTTGCTTGAATAATAGAATTTGGGGTGGGAATGTGTTTTACTGTTTTAGTATTCTACAACCCATACAGGTATGGATTGGGTCAAGTATTAGGCTAAACTCAACCCTTCACAACTTGTATATTGTTGGAAAGTATATGGACTTAATGTATTAGGTGTTGAATTTTACAATATTTTGAGTTTTATGTGAAGGATGATTGAAAATTTATGTATTTTTTACATATTTTAATCAAATAGTTGGAATTTGTGTTGTTTGTTCATATTATTTTACCTATTTATTGTTTATATATAACAAGAAATAATAGCAAACTAGGTGCATTTTCCAAACCCAACTTGCCCTACCCTTAAAATGTGTGGAGAGTCAAGAAAGATTTTGCACTTTCATATATGGGGAGGATTTGGATTCTCAAAATCCAACCAGCTACATGATTTGGAGTGGATACTGATTCAGAGATTTAGGGAGATTGGTAACAAATTAACCCAACATGGTTTGATAATTGTTGTGATAGAATTGAGGATTAAAATTATCATCATCATCTTAGCCTTGTTCCAGCTTTATGGAGTGGGCTACATGAATCCTATTTTGCCATTTCTTACTATTTAGTGCCATGTTAAATCATCTCTTAATACTTCAACGGTTAAAACCATATCCTTCTTTTGGCCAAACAAATTTAATTTTTTGTTGGATTCAATGTTTTTGCCATTTTTTTCAAAACATATCTGATTTTGACAATCAATAAATTTTATTAATTTGTTTATAAAAAGCCTATAATTAAATAACAGTTATACATAAAATCATTTGTTCCTTAAAATTTGTCAATAGGCATACATTAAAAAGATACCACACCACACAGTAAATTGGATATGGTCACTACATGTAACATAACAAATGATTGAAATATTTTATTTAAAATATTGCTAATAATACATCCACACCACATTGGAGCCAAATAGATTCAAACACCACATCTTTTAGGTACCACACTACCAAACACCCCCTAAGTAGCTGAGCTGAACTGAGATGGTCGCTTCTCATTTGTACAAAATAAGGGGTAAGGGGACGAGACCAACCACACCCTTCATCTGTCCCAACCCTGAGTCCCCTGTAATGTACATTATGTAATATCAAATAAGGTAAAAAATGCCAATAGAGTTAATTAGAAATTTGATGCAATTGAATTATGTTTCACCTTGTCCAAGTAAAAGATGGATTACTCGGCTAGTAAAATTTGCCAAAACTCATAATTGTTGAGCCTTATTCTTTGGATGACTTTTCCTATTTATGTCTAAAGCTATTCAAATGTTTTGAGCAGCTGAATAACCTAAGCGGATTTTATCTTATTCCCAGCTGCCTTAGATTAATTTATTTTTTATTCCTTTTATTTTATGTTTGGGAGATAGTATATATGAATTTCTTTATTATTATTATTATTATTTCTATAGGTAAAAAATCTTATTAAGCCTAGACAGATGGTGATATAGTCAATATTCATCACGCCATCGATAGACAACACGTGGCACGCCTTTTAGAGCATTCTCGTCATCTTACAAAACCTTAAGGGGTATTATGGTCATTTTTGTTCACATTAATGTAAAGCTTTAATGACGGGCTAGAGGTGTAAAGCGGGCCGTGCCGCCCTCCCCTGGGATAACATGGGGTCCGGTATGGCCTGTGAATCGAGCCTTGGGCCAGATTGGGCCATGCATCAGACCAAAGCTATTTATTTAAAAAAATTGACAAAAAACCTTAACATTTTAATTTTATAAGAATTTTGATGTATATAATTACTTATATATACAATAATTAAATAAATTAATATAATAAAATTAAAAAAGTATTTACTTTATTAATATATTATATATTATATATTATTATATAATTATACTTTATATAATGTTATATATAATATAAATATATATGGGCTATGTCGCGGGCTGAGCCAGCATGTCCCGCTCGGTTGTGTCATACTGGCCTGGCCCATAAATCTAAAACCCGAAGCCCAGCACAGCCTGCACAATCATGTCAGGCCACGGGCAGCACGGCCCGATTTACACCTCTATGACAGGTATTACAACGTCAACCGAGCCTCCCCGGTAAATTTATAGTAAGGTAGCACTTGGCGATGTGGTTTGTGCCTTAATTGTCTTCCGGTTAATAACGCCTAATGTGCAGAGCCATTATAAAGGGTGAGGGTGACCACCACGACTATAAAAGGGGGACTCAAGGCCTCATGTACCTCTTTTACGCAATTGCACTTCATTAAGATGGAACCCTCGGCCTTCTATCTTTGATAGCATCAGATAGGACCCAAAATTGAAAGCTTGTAAACTTCCTACGGAGTAAAACCGGCCGTGACCTGGTGGCTGGTGGACAACATACCTCTATATCTGATTAAACCGAAGAGAAGACACTTTCAGATATGATCTAGCCAAGGTTTGAGAAATTCTGCCCCTCAGTTCTCTGCTAATAAGCCCGAAGCTTGAGTGCGTATTATAATTATTACTGATATTTCTTTATTGTTTTGTAACAGTAAATAGTTAGTTGTATGCTTGTATTGTTTCTTCCTTCTGTTCTGTTTTCACTTTTCAGTTTTCACTCGAGTGAGGCTGGTGGCTAAGTTGAAGAGAGATCTGTCCAGTATAGGCAAAATTAATTGAATGAATTAAATTGGCTAAGAATGAAGTGTTACATAATATACAATAGGTTTGACGGTTTGAGAATTTAATACTTAAAAACTACAGAGAGCAATTAAGTATGGCACGAGCATATATGTGCCATACCGAAACAAATAGGAGGATGACTTCGTGAGGAAAAAAAGGAACTGGGTCATCCGATGCTCGAATCAACTTTCTCGAGTCGAGCATAAGTCTAAAGTCAGCAACTCCGGCAACTAAAAACTCCAGAATTCTGACACTAACCAGGAACTCAACTCCCTTCCATTGGTGAGTGGTTGCAACTTCTAAAAATTCCAAAGGAAGGACTGTTGATTATAATCCCCATTACTGATCTCTTCCCCATAATCCAAGGAATCCAGTGACGAGGGAAAATAGTCGGCCGAATAATCGTCAAACCCAGAAAAAACTCCGAAATCCGACACGCTATCTTCGGATCCCACTAGAAACATGTCGAAGAAGGACCAGTCGATGGAAACATCGCTATCCGCGGGGACTGGTCCATCAGAGACCGATGAAGGCGAGGGGTATTCCAGCGTGGTCTCCGTCGGTAAATGATCGGAGGGCTCCTTATTCTGTGGGTCTTCATTCGCAAACCGAGCCGCAGCAGCTTGAATTTCCGGCGGTGTGAGAGATCTACCACGAGGAATCTCCGGTGGGTTTTCTGGGAAATTGAACTTGGCATTGCGACCGCGTAAGCAAAAGAGGGCAGCGTCGAAGGCCCGAGCGGCCTTCTCGGCGGTGTCATAGGATCCCAACCAAATCCTCTCCCGGCTGTTGGGTAGCCGAATTTCTGAAACCCATTTTCCCCATTTTCTCTTTCTTACACCCTTATACTGAGAACCAGTTCTATCGGAAGATTTTCCTTCGGCGGTAGGTTTCACCATCTGCCGCTGACCGGAATCTAATGCCACTAATAAAATTTGAGTACCGGTAAGGTTTGTTTCCGCTGAAAAGAGGAATTTCTCAACTCTCAAGTGTCGAGTCGTCTCTGGTTATGGAGGATGAAGGAATGACGGCTCTTCTGTCTCTATATATACTGAGGTTTTGGCTGCTCAGTGGTCAGCAAGGCCGTTGGTAGCCGTAGGGTAAGGGCCGAAGCGTGTCCATACGGTCTGAGACGTGGCGAAGAAAGTATGACGTGGAGAACGCGGTAGACATTATTAGACAAAAAGAAAGAAGGGTGACACTCTCTTAAATTTAGCACGCTTCTTTCTGGATTGATGGGGATTTGTGAGTTCGTTTTCCTCGTGGTGTATAGTGTACAGCGTACTAGGACTAGGAGAGTGACTCTTCATATACTCATTCAATGATTCCAGACAACAATGGTCCCATACTCCCATCTCATGGCTGAAGGTGACCTGTGCCCTGTGGTGGGGTACTGGGGTCTTGCTCTTTCTCCAATTCTTCTAATAATCTCCACTCTCCACTGGGTAAAGCCGTAAAAGTGGTATGTGGTATGTGGTAACCTCCAAGAGCCTTCTTCGCCTTACGCCAAGCTTCTGCTAAGTTCTACCTACTACACAACACGCTACGCTACCCACATGATACAGCCACATAACAGCCGTGCATCGGGAATATCTTCGCTACATGAACGTCTTATTCATTCGACGTATTCCCGATATGCGGCTCTAATTCTATATGGTATATGGGTAGCGGATCCGGACTCAGGCCACGCCAAAGCTGGCTGGCTGCCCGACACGAAACCCTTAATTCTCTATATGATTATGATACGAGAGTATTTGTCGTTTTGTGATTTTAGCTCGTGGGTAGTAACATAGTAGCAATCCTCAACTGCACCTTTTTGTATTTCTTCCGTCACTCCACTTCCTTTTCCAATTATATCCCTTCTTGTGATCGTTTTTACCGAGACAAATCGGCACGTTGTTAAATGTTAGAGACATATAGAGTCGCATATAATAAATTAATAATGACGATGATGATACAAAAAAAAAAAGTACCATCATGCACTTACTAAAAGAAAGCAACTAAAAACAATTAATGTGTTTTGTCTTTTCTTTGGTGTTGAAGTTGAAGCAGATGAGGATCTGCTCGCTACACCAAACTGGACTTGGATAAATTAAATACCTTTTTGTGCCATGTCTTTAAAACGTGGAGTTTTAATTTATTTTGTTCGAAGTCTCCATGAAATATCCCAGGTCCGAAGGTAATAAGAAATTTCTGCTGAAATTTATCAAAAAATAGAAATGTTTAGATAAAGTGTTTGTTTTTTCTTTTTTTTTCTCTTTTATTTGAAAGAAAGTCCTTGAGGCCAGTTTAGAAAAAAAGTGCTTGAGGCTAACTCAAAATTATGCCAAACCATGCTAGGTCGCGGATGGTACAACTCGATTTATACAACTCTACAATTACCCCTTATTGTTGGTTTAAAAAAAAAAACTAATAAGCATTGGAGTAGAGCATATAAATGGTATAATAAATAGTAAGGATAATTTTGGAAATAAAATTCGGAGTTTCCAAGACAAAAACTAATGGACTTATAAACAACGATAAACAGTCAGGGATAATTTTGGAAATTAAAATCAAAGATTTTTGATGAATGGGACGATTACCATTCCCATTTTTATTAATGGTCTATATAAACGTATATAAATATATATACTTAATACATATATATGATGACGTGGCACGGTCTTAATCATTCAATCCGATCGGTCGAATCGGTGACCCATGACCCAAAGGAAAAAATGGCCCGGCCTCCGGGTCGGTTTTTAAAACATTGGTTGTGTCCAATATCATATCAATAAGAGTGGATACAAATATGGATATATTAATAATATCAAATTTAAAGTTTAAATAACAGAAATTAATAGGATATGAATACATAAGGAATGCATATATATTTTCATTGTACATATGAGCGAATACATTATAATTAATATAGGAGTGGGATTTGTATATATCATACAATTTTATTGATAAGTATATTAAATTCTTAAATATTTTGTAAACAATATTTTTGTTTTTTTTTTGTAAATTAGAAATATGTTGTTATTTCCTCAAATAAGCAATTGTGACTCTTTTGTCCTTCATTTTCTTTCAAATTTTCAAAATATCCAATCCAAAGTGAATGAATAAAAGTACTTTGATAGAAGTGCTTTTATCAAAGTGGTTTTAGTACTTTTACAAAAGTGCTTTCATAAAAGTACTTCGGTAAAATACTTTTATAAATATATTTTTGTAAAAATGTTTTTATTAAAGTGCTTTTACAAAAGTACTTTTAAAAGTGCTTTTATAAAAGTACTTCCGTAAAAGTACTTTTCTAAAAGTGCTTTCATAAAGTAATTTTACAAAAGTACTTTTGTAAAAGTACTTTTATAAAAGTGCTTTCACATAAAAGTACTTTTACAAAAGTGGTTTCGTAAAAGTACTTTTATAAAAGTGCTTTCATAAAAGTACTTTTATAAAAGTGCTTTCATAAAAGTACTTCATAAAAGTGATTTCGTAAAAATACTTTACTCTTAATAAAAGTAATTTTCATAAAATTACTTTTATAAAAGTGCCTTTGTAAAATTGTTTTTGTAAAAGGGTTATAATTGGTATTCTAAAAATTCACTAGGGACAATTATGGGGGAAAATTTGAATAAGTGCTTATTATATGAGCACTTAAAAAAAGCTGAAAATTTAGGCTTAAAAAACAAGCCCTTATTTTAAAAATAAGCACTTATTTCAGTCTTATTTCCCAAACACTAATAAGTGCTTAATGGTGTAGTCCCCACCCAAAAAAACACTTATTTTTAAGCATTCCCAAACATGGCCTTATTAACATTTCAAAATACTAATTTTGAATATTATTATTTTAAAAATTTAATTGAATATAATTATATATTATTATTTATTTGGATTACATGTAAACACTGAAATTGGATAAAAGTTAACACAAATTTGTATTAATCAATCCAAAACACAGTATAACACGAGCCAATGTACCCAATGCCCCCTTGAACATTCCATCTATCTCCAATGAAGGATTGTACACTCATACTGGTTTCTCTCTAATTGTGATGCAAAAACATGTAATTTGAATAACTGCTTTTTACCCCAATCAATTCTTTATCATCAAGTCTTATATTTAAGGCAATAATTCCATGTCAATAAATCATATAATTAATTTGTTTTTTTCACCAATAAACTCTATTATTTAGATTTATATTCAATACTTCAACACTTTAAAACCCATGTTCTTCCATCTAGGTGGTGGATAATCAATTCAACTGTACAGGTCAAATGAATCGATTCATGACGTCATAGTTAAATAATATTTTTTTAAATAAAATTAAAGATAAAAAAGTAAAAATTTATATAAAAATTAGACACATCTCTTAAATAGACCCATGGTTTTCAAAACTACTTGAATATACCTTATAGGCTGGCCCCACTTGACACAGATAAGCACACATGTTGGCCGTTTGTACTGTTCTAATATTGTTTTATTGAACTTCCAACGTTGCCTCACTAATTCACTATGTTGTTTATTCAAACTTGTTCGGCGGAATTGTATTCAACCCCTAACTCAGACACGGTTTAGATGTAGGAAAATTTCTCCATTAATGATAAAAACTAAAAAAGAGATATTCCTATAATTGGCATTGACTATCTACGGAATGCGCCCCACATGCACCCCACAATACACCCCAAGTTCGCAACCACGTTGTAACGTGGGGAGGCAGCCAATCGGAGTGTATGTTCTGAATGTGTGAGGTTGCAGTGGTTAGCTGTGACAGTTGGGAGCGCTTGGTTGGTAGCATATCCCTGCAAATTAATATGGTCCCGAAATTGAATTGGGAACGAAATTGGAATCCAATACAGTTCCATGAGCGCATGAGGGACATGGCACTTTCAAATGGGTGGTAAAGTACATTTTGGGGTGGGGGCCCAAATGTAGTTAACGGATGCAAACAAATGACGCAATGTGCTTTCTTGAAAAAAAGTGACGCTATGTTCCATACTTTCATATCTGTGTCTGTACTGTGTAGGGCTCTTCATAAGAATGTCCAACCCGACCAAACCGATCAACCTGGATCGATCCAATCCAAGTCAATTGGGTTTTCATCCGTACTGGTTGGTTTCGGGTTGGGCACATACAAAAATCGATATATCGGGTCGATTTCGGTTTTTTGCGTAAAAACCGAAATCAACCCGACCCGAACCGATCTAAAGATCTACTAGTTTGGTAGTTTCTACTTCCTAGTTTGAGTAGTTTCCTAATTCCTACTAGTCTTCTACTTCTAGGCTTTTACTAGAACTAGAACTCTAAAAGGCCCATTAGGCAATTACAATTAGAATTCATTTAGGTGTCATTTTTTAGTTTTTTACCTAGATTATAATTTAGAAGGTTTCTAATTTTTTATTTTATTAACCACTTTTGTCTTCTCTTAAAATCTTCTATTCTCTAACTTGGTTGGTCCGCCCCCCTCATTCCCTCAAGCTCAACTGCTCAAGTCTCATTCTCAAAGTCTCAACTTCAGTCATTCAAAGGTTAGTATTTATTTATTTATTTTTTAATTTAATGCATGTTACAAGTTGATATATTTTATTTGTGTTTTGTTTAAGTTTAAGCTTTGAAAAAAATATAATTAATGATGATATATTTGCACAAAAAACTTCAGTTTTGTATGAAAAACCTAATCTATTTAAAATTTTAAGTATATATTTCGGTTTTAATTTAAATATATTTTATATTTAAAACTATTAAATAAAGATATTTCAGTTTTACATAAAAACCGAAATATCTGAAAAATTTTATATCTAAAAAAATATATATTCTGAAATATATGAGATATATATTTCCAGAAAATATATATTCCAAATTTCCAATATATTTTATTTTTATGTATATTTTTGTTTATATATATATATTTTAAATACATATTTCAGCCTAATCTATTTAAATATATATTTCGGTTTTAATTTAAATATATTTTATATTTAAAACTATTAAATAAAGATATTTCAGTTTTACAAAAAAACCAAAATATCTGAAAAAATTTATATCTAAAA